ACAAAATAAGCACCCTGGCTTCCTGCTGAGTCACTTAGCCAAACCTCTAGACTCCCCAAGTTGACACAATGTATCAACCATAACAATGTTATCAACTTTTATAAATTACACACTATTTAAAATCACATAGCTAATCAGGCTATATGAGCATTTTATGTAAGACATGAAATTTATGTAAAATTTTAGAATCCTTTCACATTTTACTTGTGATAAGCAAAGATTACTGATTTCAGTAATTTCAATTTTTATAGTTATAATTCATCTTTGGCCCTGAAACAAAAGACAGACATGAAAATGTACAGAATGGATATGATATAATGTCTGCTTTCATGACCTTAAAGATACAACTTGAATTCAGAGATGAGAAATGTATGAAAAATAACATTTTGTTTTCTGTGAAACCTCACTGCAGAAAATATCCTGGGACTGGGGTGTAGCTCAGTGGTAGAGGATGTGCATAGTATGTTTAAGGCCCTGGGTTTAATCCCTAGCACCAAAAAGAAAAAGAAAAACATACTGATTAAAATAAATAAGTAAAAATGTGTAAGCCTACAAGTTGCTCAAATATAGCCATGTGGACATGGGTAGACAAAGCAAATTAACATTAGTTTGGTCAACCACGGCATAATTGTTATTATTTATATCAGTGTATAAAGCCATATTTCAAAATCATCCTTCACAGGCTCAACTCCATATGACAACTGGAAGAGCAGAGCTCAGTCTGATAACATGCATGCCCAACTCACCCAAATGCTACCTCCTATGATGACACAATGCCAAGCACAGGCTCAGATTGAGATACCTCATCTGTTACACACCACAGACAGCACATACACAGGAATAGGGGCATGTGCACATGCACACACACACACATGCACACACTCACACACACATATCCATGCACACATGTAAAGAAATTTTATTTTCTGAGACACATGAAACAATTTCAGAAACCATAATAATTCAAAGTTTGAGGGGCAACAAAACAAACATATCAGCCTAAAATACTAGGTTTTTTTTAATGTTTTTTGTGTGTGTGCTTCACTAATGACTACATTCTCACATATGGTATATCACGTGAGCCAAAATTTCAGTCTCTGCTTGGTAATTTATAAATGTTTTAGAAAATCACTTTCAATCAAATAATTACTATTGAAGAAACATCATAATTATATACATTTGTTACATATGAATTAATGAATGTAAATGTGATGTTTTATTTATAAGCATATTTTCATGTAAGAATCAGTGGGAGATGTGTTGAAGAGGGTGAAGTGGCTGAGGGGAAACACCAGGATCAAAAATGATCAGTAAGTGCTATGTACATCTACCAATTTCCCAAAGCAAATACAGTCATAAGGCAGTGTAAACATGCACTCATAAAAAAAACAACAACAACAAAAGAAAGTAAAAAATGTAACCACTTGAGTTCACTCTGAATCATATTGCTTGAGTATTTTCTATCTATTAGTGGGAGTAAAGCCAAACAAAACAAAAGTACACCACAAATCGAATGTGTGGGGCAAGTATACCACAAATATAGGCTTTAAATGGAAACAAATTTAATTTATAATCAGTACTGTTGCCATCATTGTTTTATTATTAGTGATTGTATTCTCAGATTCATTGTGTCTTAATGAATGTACTACTTTGTTAAGCGTTGCTGGTTGGAAAAATCAATTAATCTGGAGCAACCCTAAAATACGATGCTATTTACGGGTTAAATGAAAAGAAAAAAAGAAGAATACTGAACACCAGATGTCTTGCTTCCTAAAAGAAGAAGAAAAATAGCTGTTATGGTTGATACATTGTGTCAACTTGGGGAGTCTAGAGGTTTGGCTAAGTGACTCAGCAGGAAGCCCGGGTGCTTACTTTGTATTCATCCTGAACCTGTGGAAGAGGAGGGCATGGAGATTATGTGAGAGCTACATGTCCCTTAGGTGGGGGTAGCCTGTTTACAATGTAAGGGAGGGAAAGAGGCTGCTTGCCTGTGATTCTTCCTTTTTGCTCTGACTGCTTTGCTGTTTGGCTGCCATTTCCCCCTTTGCTCTTGTTGCTTTGCTATCTTCTGCCTCGGAGTCAACCAAGTATGGATTGAAACCTGTACAAACTGTAAGTTAAATAAACCTTTCCTTCCTTAATTTTGGGTGTTGGGTATTTTGTCTCAGAGAAAAGTAACTAAGACAGAATTTGGTACCAGGAGTGGGGTTGTTGCTGTAACTGTACCTGACCATGTAGTTCAAAAGCCTTGGAAAATGGCTGTGAGAAGAGTTTGGAAAGGTTCAGAGATGTTTCCTGGAAGGGTAGAGCTGGAATGCCTTCAGCTGTTCTGTTTGGGAGAGTCTGGTCAGAGCTCAGACGATCAGAAAGCTGATAGAAATCCTGCTGGTAAAGACCATGTTCAGGAGGTTTCTGCTGTAAAGAAGGACTTCATTGGTTGTTGGACTCCAGGTAATGTATTTTATGGCCTTGCAGAAAGTTTGTCTGCATTTTGCTTGTGTCCAGAGACTTTTCCTAAGACTGAGATTAAGGGTGACAGTGGACTGATTAATCTGGCAAAAGAAAGTTCAAGGCAGTCGAATGTTGGTGAAGTGACATGGCTATTGTTGGGGGCTTTTAGCCAGATTTATATTGAGAATCAAGAACAAAGAGCCCAGCAGGATGATTTAAAACTTTGTGAATTTGGCCAGAAAGAAAGCTCCAGTAAAGCTGTGGACTGCAAAGATAAGGCTGAGATCTCTATTGCTGAGAAGGAACAAGAGAATGGAAAAGATGGCCTGAGGGCATCACAAGCAGCAAGTCTCTGCCCTTTGCAACCTCAAAACCGCAAAGGTGAAAGACCTTGCCTTGAGAAGGAAGCCCCAGAGCATCATGTTCCAGAATGGCAGTGGCAGCCACACCAGGTTCCAGAATGGCAGCAGTATAGAGAATTTGCTCCTCAGAATTGGATTCAGAATGCCCAGTGATCCAGCCACTCGACCCCTATGGCCAAGAGAGAGGAAAACTTGGCTACTGCTCCACATGGCAGCAGACCTTGACATCATCCACGTGGCCCCGGCTTTAAGTGCATGGAGAATACAAGAGATCTGAGGTTAAAGAGGCTTCCACCCAGATTTCAGAAGGCCTGAGAGGCCAAGCAGTGTGCTCCTGAGAGGGCAGTATGTAAAGCTGTGAATGTGAAGTAAAAGGTGCCCTGGAGACCTGAGAAGTTTAGAAAAGCCAGGACTGTGGATCACCTGAGGAAAGCTGCAAGAAGGGAACAAAGCAGGCCTAAGAGAGAAGCCATAGGAGCTGTAACCACTGGAAGTGCCATAGGGGTGGAATTATGCAAGCCCTTTGGAGGTCTCAATGTTCCACAGATTGCTTCAGATGCTGGTCATGGAACTATAGGACATAATGTTAGCCCTGCTGGATTTTGGACTTAATTTGGTCCCAACGCTCTGTATTCCTCTGTTTGTACCTTTTGGAATGGTAATGTTCATTTTATGCCATTGAATGTTGGAAGTGTTTAACTTTTCATTTGTATAGGGGCTCACAGCTAAGAGTTTGCCTTACATCTCAGAGGAGACTTGAGACTTGGACTCTTCAGCAATGTTGAAATTGTTAGGACTCTGGCAACTCTTGCACATGAACTAAATACCTTTTACATAAAGGGATGTGCATGAGTCTTTAGGGGATGAAATATTATGGTCCTAATGTAATATAATGTATTTGTATCTGGAAAATGGTTTAAAGAAATGTGTCTGGTTGCCAAGTTGACAAAGGGTGAAGTGTTATGTTTGATACATGTGTGAACTTGGGGAGAGTAGAGGTTTGGCTAAGTGACTCAGCAGAAAGCCAGGGTGCTTACTTTGTATTCATCCTGAGCCTGTGGAAGAGGAGGGCATGGAGATTACATGACAGCTACATGCCCCTTAGGTGGGGGTAGCCTATTTACAATGTAAGGGAGGGAAAGAGGCTGATTGCCTGGGATTCCTCCTTTTTGCTCTGGCTGCTTTGCTGTTCAGCTGCCATTTCCCTCTTTGCACTTGTTACTTTGCTATCTTCTGCCTCGGAACCAGCCACGTATGGACTGAAACTTCCACAAACTGTAAGCTAAATAAACCTTTCCTTCTTTAATTTTGGATGTTGGGTATTTTGTGCCAGCAATGAGAGAAAGGTAACCAAGACAATAGCAAAAGAAAGGTCAGAGGGAAGAAAGAGCAAAGAAATAAAGAGAAATGGGAGGAAATAATAGCTAAGTGGACTGTTATATATGAGAGATTTACCACATCATTACATAAACCAGTAAGCAGAAACACTTATGTAGTGATTCTTGGGTTTTTAGTATTCCAAAAAAAATTGTAGTTGCAGAATTTTTAACCTTTTTCTTGTCAGAAATATGGCAGAGATTTATATTTTACTGGATAATGCTATACAACTCTACCTTCATAGAAGACTTGATCTGAAAAGTTCTTTGAATGATTCAATGCAGAAGGAGTGGTGAATCAGCAAACAACAGAGGGAAATCACAATTTCAAACCCAAATAATGATGTCTTAGTCCTTATACAGGAGTTTGATTTTTAAAAACCCGCCAGATTTTTCCTCCATTTCTTTTTTTTTGTTTGTTTGTTTTTGTTTTTTCTCTGGTACTGGGAACCGAACTCACGACCTTGTGCTTGCCAGGCAGGTGCTTTGCCGCTGAGCTAAATCCCCAGCCCTTTTCCTCCATTTCTATAAAGATATCTGGGTCTGTTGGGTGCCCAAAAGTCCTTCCTTTGTGCTCCAATCTTCCTCCCTCAAACACATCCAAATTTTACCAATGAAGAACTCAACTGTATCTCATTATTCTGACTTCTGTTGCCTTTCATTTGTCTGTCCACTTCTCTCTAAATTTTTGCAATAAGATATCATTTGGACTCCTTACCTTTGATGTGAAATCTGTACTCCAACTTCCCTTCTGCTTCTTAGACTTTCAAACTGTTAAAATCACTGAGGTCATTTATTTATTTTATTGCTGAGGATTGAACCTAGGGCTTTGTGCACACTAAATACATATTCTACTACTGTTATACCATATACATATACATGTCTATATGTATATGTACATGTACATAGTGTGTTTTATTTATAAGCATATTTTCATATAAAAATCTGTGTCTTGTTAAAGAAGGGGAGATAGAAGATAGATGGATGGATAGATTAGATAGATAGATAGATAGATAGATAGATAGATAGATAGATAGATAGACAGATAGCCCACAAAAATGAATACACATTTCAGGAAAAGAAAAATAGTATAATTTTTTTTTCAACAGATAGTGTTATTCTCATAAGGGGGACCCTAAAAGATATCATCTATCTCAGAAAACCCACTATACTGGCCACACTTAGAGAAAAAAATTGAAAATGCATGTGCACTAATCTCCATGACCAAGGTTCCCATGATGTCTCAATAAATTTAGCATTAAAATTTAGCATTAAAAGTTTTTCATTGAAATCTGTATACATATTTTGGTGGACTCTCTCTTAGAAAGATATATAGGTGGACAGACAGACAAACAGACAGATAGTCCACAAAAATGTGTACAAACTTTACAAAAAGAAAAATAGTATGATTTTTTTCAACAGATGATGTTACCTGCGTGTGGGGGACCCTAGAGGATGTTGTATGTCTTAGAAAACCTACTATATGGCTGACACTTGGAGAAAAAATTGAAAATGCATGTGCATTGATTTCATTGACCAAAGTTACCAAAGCAGCAATTCCCTAAACTAATACACATCTGGAAGCTGATGGCCACCACCTTGACCACCTCTTGTAATTGTAAAAACCAAAGGTAATTTGTATTACTCTCATGATGTCTCAATAAATTTAGCCTTAAAATATTTATACAAGTTTTCATTGAAATTTATATATATTTTTGGTGGAGTCTCTCTCTTAGAAGGATATATAGGAAGGTAGATAGACAGACAGACAGATAGATAGATCATCACTGTTAAAATATTCACATCTATTAGAATGATACCCAAGGTTTATCATCAACCCATTTTGCTGATTGCATCAAATATTATTATATGTCATTTTCTATGCAAGAAACTTGGCTAGATTCTGTGGTTTTAAAGACTAAAACATTGTCACTGCCATCCTACAATACATAATCAGACAAGCAGTTAGGAATTGAGATAACCATTGAGTGAGATCATCCCTTAAACTCTCAGAGTATTCAAGAAAAACAGCCCTTAAGGTATCTTTGTGCAAGTCTCAGCCCAAATATTTTTGCTTCTTCAATGTGATCATGACATATTCATACAGTTATTTGATAAATGTTTATTGAGTTCTTGTTGAACTCCTATTATATGCCAACTATTAATGAGTGGGAAAAGATATTCAATAATTTATCAGTGAATAAGTAAACAAGAGAATGAATTTTAGGCTAACTTCAATACTTGCATGTTTCCTTGTTGAAAGCTCAGGAAGTTTGACAGAAGACTACAGTGCCACTGTGACATATCAGCAGAGTCCCCTCAAGACTTGTGAACTTATCCCTCCAGCTGCCTCAGTGTTCGTAGTCAGACAGCACTCAAGCGTGAGCCTTCAGGGAATAGATTTATCTAAAGAAAGTTGCTTCATCCAAATGATGATGATGTACTCTTGCCCAGGAAGCCCTTGTCAAAGAGTGACCACTACAATCAGATAAAACCTCACTGTCCTCTCTCCAATTAAGTACCATTGTGGCTTCAGACTTCACCAAAAGTCAGCCGAGACCTTTCTGGAGATTGCAGTGTAGCCTAGCTGTTTTCAGTTCAGCTTCCTTCACTTTTCTCCCAAAGGTGATAATTGTAAAAACATACCCTAGCATGTTTCCACACCAGTTTTTACATCTGAATCTGCTTTCCTAAGAGAAACCACTGGTGATATAGGCACATCTAATTTTTCTTTAATTACCAGGGGTTTAAAGTTCAGTGTGTACATGAAGTACTGCAGTGAATTAAAGAACTCTGAACTGGCCCAAATAATATGATTCTCAATCAGCTAGAAGAGGTAATTATGAAAGCTTAAGTAATACTTAGGAAGGTTGTCTCAGTACATCTTCTCCTTGAAATTTAATATAAACAGGGTCATGTAGCTAATGTTCATTGTGGTATGCTGAAAGTAGTCAATAAGGTTTTAATAAATGAGGTCATAAAGTCATTAATTGTTTATGTCTTCCTTGGTAGAGAGATAATTCATTAGTAATTAGGTATTATTAAGGAAATATCAATATCTGCCCATATAATAAATGTAAACCTCTAATAGATTTTTAAATGTATGCAAGTTGTTTATGCTTATTCTAAATTTTGGAGAAGATCATAAATTCATGGTGATTGAAATATTTAAAATGCAGGGATAAATCAATATAGATATATTTATGTGTTATGTTTGCTAATATGAATGCAGAACAATATAAAATGGCTTCAGTTATAGTCATTTGTAAAGTGTCTTGCCTGTTTGACAAAAATCTGTAGAACAGAAAATTTTAGTAGATGGTGAAGCGCTGAAAAAGTTTAAAAATATTCATCTTATAAAAAATTCTAAGGAAATTAAAGGCTATTTAAACTGTATATTTCTAAAATATTGCTTCAGTCCATCCCACTCTTTACATCTTAATTTATATGAATTTAAATTAATAACACTTCAGATTCATAGTTTAAAGCTTAACCTATAAGGAACACTCATAATTTAAATCATTGTTGCTATATTCTTATACAAATCCATGCATTTATTATGAGAGTTGAAAAGACAAATCTTTATTTTCTCTAGACTATTTCTTTTCTTTTGATGGAGGTATCACCAAATTTTAGAATAATCTTAGCATTTGCTTTCTCTAGTGTACCTAAAATATTATCTTTAAGTTGTTCTAAAATGCTATTAAATATAATTTTTATCCTATTTTAAGAAAGAAAAATATCACTTCCAAGCAGTCACCTATTAGCATTCTGTCCAAAGTGGATTATAGACTTTGAAACTAAACATGAATATCTCTTAAAAAGGTTCCCAAGCTTAACTATCTTGGAAGCTGCTTTGACAATAATTGGATCTCCCTAATACACATATGGATTCAAATATTGCAGAAAGGAAATGGGTTGTAAATTTTGGCAACTGAACCTAACTATACTTCCATATGTATGCTTTACCAACCGCAGAAATTGGAATTTGAACTGTTGTTACAAACCATTTTTGCTAATTACAAGCATCTTCATTTTTCACCTTCACAAGTAAAGTTGTGAGAGGCCCAATGTTCGCCTTGCTTATCTGAAATTCCCATTTGGCAAGCACTGTAAAAAGTAACTCCCAAAGAGCTGTCATATGCCCAGAGTCTCCAACTTGGCGCAGCTACTAGCTTTGACCTCAGGGAATTTTTTCGCGTGTCTTCCTGTGGTTTACCTCTGAGAGTTCTCTCTAAATTGAAAGAGAGCAAGAAGGTTGGGTAAAAACAATAGCTCAACAAGCCAGGTTTATTTTAAGTGCTTTGCAACACAATTGTCTTACAGGACGGAACTACTACAACATGGTCTCAGATAATTACTCTTTACAAAGTAATTCAGGAAGAGCAAGGCCAATTAGCTTACCAATTAAAAGGTGTGCTAAAAGCACAACACACATTCATCAGAATTAACACCCACAAATGTTTCTATAGACATTGCATCAATCAAAGTGTAAGAAATATAGATCTTGGTGACCATGTTCTTGATTATCATTATGTACCATCCACCAACATAGGCTCTGATAATTTCTTGTTTATATGAGAGCTGCCATGGGAATACTCTCTAACCTACTTCTTTGTTAACAGGTTAGGATGACTGGACTGAAAATAAAGGAAATCTAAAAATTAGAATTGAACTGGCATTCAGTATTGATTACATGTTTCTGGATGCCAGCCAGGTCTCAATATTTGAGGGGTGCCAGGTGTTCTTTCCATGTGTTGTTCTGTGATATTTTCAGTCATTCTCAAATATATGGCCTTTTGGTTTTTGTGCGTGTGGAATCCGGCACTTGAACAGCTTGTTACAGTATAGATTTCCCTGGGAGCTTCTGATTCACTAGATGTGAAGTGGGTCCAGGAATCTGCTTTTCCAATGACTCCCCAGGTGAGCTGGTGTGGCTAGGTCACAGACCGCACTGACCCATCATTGACGTGTACAGTCCTTCATTTGCTATGTATCACCTACAGTGTTCTAAGACATAAAGTCTTATTGTTTAACCTAAAGTTTCCCTTAAATAAAGTTTTTATCTAAAATAATTTCCCTAAATCTCAGTTCTGCCCAAAATGATCTATGTATTTTCATAGAAAACTGTTCCCATTATGTTCACTTGATTTATTGGTATATATAATAAAGTACAAAAAGTATATACAGTTTGTTGAGCAAATCTTATTGTTCTTCTAGCATGCAGTGTGGCCACTAAGTATGTTATAGCAGTTCAGTTTTCTATGGCAATATAACAACTACCACAACTTTAATGAATTAGAACAGTATATATTTATTATCTCATGTTTCATGGGTCAAGAAGCTTCATGGTCAAGAGTCTGCACAGGTAGGCTGATTCTTCTGCTCAGGGTCTTACAAAGCTGAAGTCTGACCTCAGCCAGTTACGTCCTCCTGTAGAAGCTCCACAAGGGAACCATCTGACCGCAGACCATTGGGCACCGGCACTGTTGTTGGTGGCTGAGCTCACTATTTTCCTGCTAGTTCTTCGCTGGACGCATTCTCTGTTCAGCCCCTTGGCACTTGGCCATCTCTATAGGAAACACAGCACAGGGCCTGACTCAGAGAATCTCTCCCACCAGGAAAACCTAATCCCATAAATGTTTCTTCTAATTAGTGGTAACCATTCAGCCTAATCTCCCTTTAGACGAAATAAAAGTCAGGTGATAGGGCCCTCAATTCTATCTGTAAAGTCACAGCACTTTCATCACATATCATAATTTGATTGCCAGAGTGAAATCTGTCCTAAGCATAATCCCACTGTACAGACGGGAAGGGATTACAGAGGACGTGGATGGTAGAGGGTCAGGATCTGCCTTTGTTATCTCAGAATTTAGGGTACTGCAACCTGTGAACACATCTTAGTTTGATTTTCAGAACCACCGGAGAGGCTTTACTAATCTGGTAAGTAGAATAATAGAAGTAGTTAGGAGAGCTTGCATTCCAGTTCCATCTAAACGGTAGCATGCCTTTTTACGAGGTACTGATAGCCACACAGACAAATATTGCAATACATCAAGGACTCCAGAAAAACTTCCATGAGATCGTATTTTTATGTTAAAAGATTGTGAAAAAGCTAAGGTCACCAATTAGTAGATAAAATAAAATGTCAATGTCAGCAAATATAAATTGTATAATGAATATAAACATTAAAATAAGTGTTTTGGGCTAGGTGCAGTGGAGCACACTTGTATTCTCAACATGTTCAGGAAACTTGAAGCAGGAGAGTCATGAGTTCAAGGCTATTCTGTGCTATATTACAAGTTCAAGGCCAGTGTAAGCTAATAATGAAACTCTGTCTTAAAAAAAAAAAAAAAGAGCATTAGTCTTGGAGTATTTATTTCTTACCTCATTATTTATTCATTTATCTATTTATGATCATTTTAAATAGTTGACTTATAGGGCACTCTGAGCCAAGGCTGTAAATATTTTTATCCATTTTTATCTCCTTTGTACTGAGATCTCAAGGGTAATCACACTCATATCCCCAGACAGACAACTGGATCAAAAGACTCATATTTTTTCAAAGGAAAACAAATGACAGAATGTCTAGTTCAGATAACAAGCCGGGAAAGTCAACAGAATCTCTCTCTCTTCTTCTCTTGCTCTCTCTCTCTGTCTCCCC